CTGTGGGACCCTGTGGGCCAGCACTCCCCACAGGTCTGTGCACTAGCAGGTGCTCGGTGGATATTTGTCACCTGAAAACCCAGTCCTTGTCCAAGGAAATGAATTAAGGGCACAAAGTCTATGCCAAAAATATGCAGATGAAATGAAATAGGAATTCCCCCATCACTGGGCTAATTAAGACAAAGACTGGTAAAACTTGTGTTTGGGTGATTGTAGTGCAAATTCCTGCATCTTTGGACTTGGCTGGATTAAGTCTCCTCTGAATTTTCTTCCGATCCAGCAACTCAGTGGTTATAGATAAAGAATTCTGGTTGAAGCACTCAAGATACTTATGGATTGAGGGAAGTAGAATCCTGGAGAGATCTGAGTGGGCAAGGATTTAAACAGAGAATGCTTCCTGGAAGAGGAGACTTTGGACTGAACTGAAATTTGGACAAGGCAAAAATGGGAGATAAGAATGAGGAGACTAACCAGAGAGAGATTGAATATTTTGGAGCTTAAAATTAATTTGGTAGATGGGGCACTATGTAAAGTGGCTATCAGGAGGGGATCAATAAAATAAACTATGGCCCATTCACACATGGAAAACATTGCAGTCTTTGAAAAGAATGAGGGAAATTTGTAATAGTGGTTGCTTTGAACTTGAACTAGGTAGCAAGAGGAAGAGGTGAAAAGAAGACGTACTTTCACTATGTATATATGTTTTGCATTTATTACCTTTTAAAAATTTGCTTTGGGGCTGGCCCCGTGGCATAGTGGTTAAGTTTCCACGCTCCGCTTCAGCGGCCCAGGTTCGAGGGTTCAGATCCCGGGTGTGGACCTATTCCACTCATCAAGCCATGCTGTGGTGGCGTCCCACATACAAAATAGAGGAAGATGGGCACAGATGTTAGCTCAGGGCTAATCTTCCTCACCAAGAAAAAAAAATTTGCATTAATAGTTAATTTGGAGAAATGTGGGCAGAGAATGGCAGGTTTCATAGACAAAGCAAAGACTCTTCTGTCTCTGCAACTATTCCCTAGGTGATTGTCAAAGACAAAATGCACCAGACAGTTAAAGAGATGATTTCATTCAGGCTATTGTAACAGGAAGGACATTTGCTAATGAGGAAAGTCTCAAAGAGGAGGAGGAAAGCAGGGGGTTTATAAAACAAGGGGGTCATTGAGGAGAGATGGAGGCAGGTCTTATCTTAGACTGTGCGAGAGCAGGGTGGTCTTTTGTGGTTAGCCTGTTGGCCCTTTCTGGGAACACAAAAGGGTGGGGGGGATTTCTTAACCATTCCTGTTTTCAGACAACTCAAGGCTCATAAGCTATCTCATCCAGTCTCAGGGCTTTAAACTTCATCTGTACTCTGAGTTAAGAAAAGTTATCCAAAATTTGGAAATAAAGCTGAAGGATGAATGCATATCCTTTCAATGTCATTGTTTCACAGACTCAACCAAGGGTTATAAATACTCTAGGAGAATATACCTATGTTTGACTTTGCTATTTACCATTTGATTAGAGCTCAGACACTGAGATTACACCATTAACTTGTAAATTTCTGTTTGATGAAAAAAATAATTCCACATATCTAATATATTATCTTGTAGGTCATTAACCAGTTTTGTACCTAACTTGGATTTTTATTCTATCCTTCCTTTATTAGATTGCTTATAAATTCTCACTCCTCAAGTGCTCTTTGAACCAGTTTAACCATCCTATTGGTTGCTTCATTAATTACTATAAGTTGAATAAAATCTTTGACACGTTTATTTTATATTTATTTGAGCATCAGGTTTTTACCTTTCAAAAATTATAGTTTGATGGCTTTAGATGTCCTTCCCAGTTGCTTGGGTGGACTCACCTCAGGGAGCAAGTCAACTTTGCTGAAGAAGTGTACGTCATGGCTGCTTAAACCCAAGTGCGTGTCATCCTGGTTCCCAGAATGATTCCCGAAGGGCTAAGGACTCTATATTATTGAGTTTCTAGTTTTTTGTTTTTTTTTTTTTGGTGTTCTGAGTTTGTGTCTTTGTTTTTGTTTCTGGTTCTTGGGCAAGTGCAGTTCTGGCTCTATGCTGCAGACAGCAAAGAATTACACCCCATTGGCGGCAGCCGTGATGAGAATCATGGTCTGACCGTTCAGCGATGCCTGTCAGATGGATGGTGGGGAAGAATTATCCTCTGTGTTTGAATTTGCAATTTACTGTTTGATTTGAGCCTAGGCACTGTGAAGTTCCATGTTAACTTGCAGATTTATGTCCAGTAGAAAACATGACTGTAAGGTGGTGGTTTTACCGCCTTATAAGACATTAATCATTTTTGTATCCTAGAAATCTTTTTCTAACATTCTTTGATTTTTAAAATAAATTTTCTGGAGCCAGCCCTGATGGCCTAGTGGTTAAAGTTCAGCGCTCTCACTGCTTCAGTGGCCCAGGTTCGTTTCCTGGTCGCAGAACCACACCACCTCTCTGTCAGTTGCCACGCTGTGCCAGCTGCTCACATAGAACTAGAAGGACTTACAACTAGGATATACAAACATGCGCTGGGGCTTTGGGGAGGGGAAAAAAAAGAGGAATATTGGCAACAGATGTTAACTCAGGGTGAATCTTTCCCTGCCAAAAAAATTAAAAAATTAAAAAAAAATAAATTCTCTGATGGCCTATATAAAAGCTATCGCTCTAAGAACTAGCTTAACTGTCTGATTTCCTCATTAATTGAGTGACATTGAATGAGAGTTGTGTTTTTAACTGTAAAAAAATGAAACTTTGACAAGCTCATATAGAAAAGGGATATATGATCAGTCCTTCCCTTTATTTATCAGTTTTTATGATAATGAATTATGAACAAACATTTTTAAATGTCTGATGACAGAGATAGTAAATGATCATATTCAGAAAGGAAAAATGTTATCAGAAACATCCCAATTAATGACACCAGGAAGGGCTGGAGAGTCAGGGGGCACATCCCAGTCTGAAGCCCTGTGTTCTTGGTGAACAGACTCCACCACCCAGGAAGGGCTGCTCTGATCAGTCAGTTGGGTCAACAATGGGGTCTCTCTCAGTGCAGGGAAGCCAGTGCACCTCCATCTCTTTGAAGGAAATGGGCCTGAAACAGAAGCAGGAGGGACATAGGAACTGTAGAGAAGAGAAAGAAAGGCTTGTGTGTTCAGAACTATTCTGGAATCTCCTCCTATCCTGTGAAAATAGGAGTTGACTGAGGTGCTTGGAGCATTCCCCATCCACAGGGAGGAAATACAGAATGTCTTCCATGAGTGCTGTGGGAAGGTTTTCAAGGAATGCATTAGGATTGGTTAAAATGGAAAGAAAATGTGTTCTGAAGGAAAAAACAAAGAAAAACCTGGAAGAGAAAGCTCCATGTTAAAACCCTGGCAGAATCTTTAGGGGTTAAGAAAAAGCCTTCCAGAAACAAAAATTAAACCACAGAGGCATTGTATATCCTTCATCTATAAAGAGAGCAAGGAAGGAGTGGGCTAGACCAGGAGGGGAGGGGTTTCTTGCTGGGAGCCAGTAGGGAGGTCTTATCTGTGGAAGAGACCCCTCACTGGGTCAGGGCCAGTACCAGGGTGAGGGGTTTTATTCTCTGCCACTCCTCACTCCACCACTGTTCTCTCCTCTGCTGTGACTAAGGGAAGTTGCTTCTATTTTCACAAATCCTTGGAGACTCCTCTGCAGCCACACCTCTGTCCCTAGTCTCTGGCAATTAAAATTCAAGGGAAGGGAGCCTCCTGAAAAGTTCTCTGCTCATCTCAGCTCCACCAACAAAAAAACTTTCTCCTAAGGGGAGGTGTAGAGGAGAACTGGGGAGTGAGGGCAAGGGACGTAACTAGTCTGAGCCCCAGGGTCCTCATCTGTAAAAGGGACATACTGATGTTCACCCCAAAAATGTTAGTAGTGAGAATAAAGCTGAACAGACAATCTAAAGTCATCTTCCCATGGTAGGTCCTAAGAATCAGAGCTGCTATTAGTGCTTCTGCCCTCTGTTCTCTCCAAGCCTGAAAACAGAGGAAACACCTTTCTGTGGTTTAGTCCAACTTTCAGAACCTAATGCTGTCCTCTCTTTCTCTCTATCTTCAAGAAAGATTTTTTTTTTCCAGGTAAAGATAGTTTTACTGCAAATGTGTACAAGATACTGGTCAGAGCTTAGATAGATGGAAACAAATACTATCAATAGTTCAAATACAAATATTTGAAAACATTTCGAATAACACCAAATTCTGTCATTTATGTTCCAATCCTAATCCAAACAGAAAAAGTATAACCAATTTTTCTGTTACAGAAACTGAAGAGATAAAAAGCGACTAATTTTGCTTGAGGATTGTATATACACAGCACTTTCATGTGTATTTCCCATGTGCCTGATACTGTGAATATGCAAACAAGCAAGTTTTTACCCCTATCCTTATGAATCTCAAAAACTGCATTTTATTCTTGGAAGAAGTCTTTATAGAGGGTGAAGGGTGAGCACTCTCTAAAGAGAATTTTACAAGCTTGTTTTTTGTCATGTGGAAGCTTTTCACCTAAGACACTAGTGCAAGACATAATATATATAGGAGAAAAGTGATATCTATATATACACATAGAGAACATAGAGTGCTGCTTAGCACATAGTAGGCTCTAAATAAATGGTAGAGATTAGCAATAAGAATTAAGAAGTTAAGCTCAGGGCATCCTCTGATAGTAGATGTAGTTCCAATTTTGAATAATAAGTAATAGCAATCCCAATGCGTTACTTCTGCGCAGATCTTGAGTTCACAAAGTCCTGTATTCCATTTTAATGTATTTTACAAAAGAATTAGTCCAAAAAAGACTGGGGGGAAAAAGCTGGTTTTTCATCAGAGCTAAAGAGTACTGCTTTAGGGTTTAAAAAGACCTCTGCAAGCTTTGGGTGTCATAATCCTCATTATTAATGAGGAAACTGAAACTCACATAAAGTAGATTATTTACCCAACATCACATAGCCAGGAGGTGGCAGCACCAGGCACAGGATGCTCTGGACCTTCAGGCCTGCCTGCCAACCCTGCAATGGTCCAGCCCCTTCCTCGGGGTCCCCATCACCTCCCGGTTCCTCAAGCTATAAATGAGAGGATTGAGCATAGGAGTAAGGACCGTGTAGAAGATAGAGACCACCTTGTCATGGCTGGGGGCCCGGTAGCGCCTAGGCCTCAGGTAGATGAACATGGCTGCCCCATAGAAGAGGGAGACAGCTGTCAGGTGGGAGGTACAGGTGGCCAGAGCCTTTTCACCAGCCTGAGCAGAGTGCATCTGGAAAACAGCCCTCAGGATGCGAGCATAGGAGGCCAAGATGATGGAGAAGGGAAGGAACAGCATGAAGACACAGCAAGAAAATATCACATTCTCAGAAAGGGATGTGTCTATACAGGCCAGCTTCAACAAAGATAGCATCTCACAAAAGAAGTGGTCCACCTCCCTCAAACCACAGTAGGGAAAGGTCATTACTACTACCATCTGGATCAAACTGTCTATTATCCCAAAGGCCCAGGAGTTCCCAACAATCCCAAACAGATTCTCTGACTCATGAGGATGGGATAGTGAAGTGGGTGGCTAATGGCCACACAGCGATCATAAGCCATGAGTCCCAGCAAGAGCCCCTCCGATCCCACGAGACAGACAAAGAGGCCAATTAGTATGCCACAACCCACAAAGGAGATGGACTTCCTGCCAGACAGGAAGTTGACTGCCATCTTTGGCGCATTGGTACAGACCAACATGAGGTCCATGAGGAAGAACTGACTGAGGAAGAAGTACGTGGGTGTATGAAGTCAAGCATCTGTGTAGGTTAGGAAGATGAGGAGGACATTCCCACAGAGGGCCACTGTGAAGACTATCATGATTGCTGAGAAAAGTACAAAGTCAGTTGGACTGTGGGAAAAAGATGCCCAAGGGGACAAAGTCATCTGTGGATGATTGGTTCAACCACGTCTCCATGGCTCAGTTGATGTTTCCGGTAACCTGTGAACATGGACAAAAAATATTGGTTTGACTGACATTTCTTTAACCTCTGCATTCCACATCTTCAGCTAGCTGTTTTGTTTGTAACTCATGAGGCCTCAGCAACATAAGCTTTGGGACATAGAAGAGGACACTCCTTCATATCCCTA